CTGATGTGTACAAATAGTATTAATTTTAGAGATGGATATTGTACCCAGAAATGTACTAATCTTTCATTCATGCCAATAATTTGTTTGAAGATAAACTTGAATTTTGATGGAAATGCTTATATATTTGCAAACAAAACACCTTTGTCCCTCTTCTTTCAATTCTTGGAGCTTTTCCCTGTTGGTACCATATCTGGAGCAATGCAGAAACAGGAATGACATTTTTAGTGTCTTCTTGACTTCTATGAAAATTTTCATGGTGATAAAACTGTTCAAAACTTTAAAAGTCCCTTACGGGGTGTGCTGGGAATGTGTGACTAATGAATGCTGGATTCTACTGACTTTTTTTTTACATTTGTGAAAGTGGCTTCTATTTCACCGACTGTAATTAATAACAGATTGTTTTGCGATCCATGCTTCACTATGATTAAAGGAGTCACAATGTCTTACAATGAGCTTACACTGCTATTTCATTTAATATTTTGTATGATAGCCTGACTAGATTTTAGCCCTGTTTCTTCCTGACTACAACCTCTGACCTCCCTTTCCTAGAGAACATACTTTAGCAAAGTTGTAATTGCAAATTCTCTTCCCATCCCTTTGCAGTGTATAAATCTGCTCTATTTTTGCAATTCATAAATGCACACCTGGAGACCCGAAAGCCACCCTTTCAACACGAGATTATTGAGATGTGAGGCCTTTATCTCCGGCTCTGTGAGGGAGGGTGGGGCCTGACTGTGACAAAGGTCAGTTAGCAAGCTCAGGTGGCCCAAGACTTACTTATTCCTGTGTTACTCTTTCACCACTGTCACAACTAGGGCTAAAAATCCCCTTTCTGGTCAGTGGAGCTGATTCAGCCTGGCTCCTCTGACATAACAACCTTCCCCCTGTTGCCATAGCATTGAAGAAGTCTCCGTTATGTGTGTATCTCTGTCAGGTGCAAGTCTTCCTCGACATCACAACTGTGCTACCCTCCTACCACAGCTTCAGCCAGTGTCTTGCTTCTTTCCTTACCTAAAGCCATTTGCTCAATGTGATAATTGCTGTCCGAAAGGCATTTAGTATCATTCTGAGAGTAATGACTTCTGGCTCATTCAAATTTTCTATGTGTTTAGCAAAATTTGACCAGTTAAACACTTTTAGAGATTGCCTAATCATCTACATTTTAATCATAATTACATACATTTTGCTACTATTTCAGCTATGATTTCATAATTTCTGTTTTATCTTGTGTGCTTCATCGCTTTCTACTTTTTATCTGCAATCACTCTTCCCTGTCTCTCGCTTTTTTCTCTCCTCTCTCTTCTCTGTCTGTTGTGTCTCTTTCTTTCCCTTTGTGACAATTTGTTAAAGGCTTTTACATTTCATTAATCCTTCAAATAATTCCCACAGATGCTTGTCTGCTTATCACATTATAGCATAGATGTGTTAAAACAATATCTTACTAATACTGGGAATTTGTGAATTTTTCTATGCAATTCCTGGCCTAAATGTTACTTTTACAAAGTTATTTGTTAATAAGCCTGGATGTGTCACATTAAACAAATGCATCTATCTGGTCGTGTGAAGCACATTCAGGCAACTGGGTTTGGGGATGTTTTGTTTAGTGTAGATGTTTTTCTTGTTCATTGCTTGTATCTGTTGCCTGTCACCCTTTCCACAAAGTGCACTTATTACCATCTTACTCTGCACAATTCCATGCTGTGGGCGTTTACCATCATCCAGAAATGTGTCTTGGCATTTAGCTGTGTCAGAAGCTAAGACTTCTCAGTGGGTTGGGAACGGGACTGCCCACCCTGTCCACCCTGCCCCAGGGGCCCAGGTGCCTCCCTCTTCTGAGTGACTGGCTATGCAGGCACAGGCGGCAGAGCCTGCCCGAAATGGCCCCAACCCAGCCAGGCCCAGCCTCACTCTGGTGCCACATCCTATGGTCACTCTGACAACCCCAGACTGCGGGATGGCCCACAGTGGAGCAGGGACATGCCTGAACAAGCCGCTCTGCCGGAAGTCCCAGGCCTTGGGAGAGAGTGAGCACTTTCCATATATTCCCAAGTCTACAACTTTCTATAAACCATAGCCCTAGAGAAACGCTGGCTGCCACTGTGTTTTGCTTTTTTAGTGGATGGCGTGTGATGTTTCCACTTGTAAACTTGGTTCCTTGCCATCTGACGTGCTTAGAGCTGTGGTTTCCTGCCAGGGACGTGATCCCTGAACCGTGTGGGGAACGACTTCCGGTCAGCAGCTCAGAGGGCGGCACCCACAGGGTTCCATTTTGGCTCCCACACTGCTTTCTATGTTGCTATTCATCCAATTATACATTTGCTTCTTTATTGCACATGGATGCACCTTTTAAAACTTATCCGTTGACAATTTATCTTTAATTTTAAGGGCCGAGAAGGAGAAGAAGTCTCAAAGTTTGTGTATCTATTTCCATTTTCTTTGAAAATGAGATTTTGAAAAAGGCAGATTCCATAATTCTATCATACAGTCACCATGTCACAGTCTCTGCATGTGGTTCATGATTAATATTTTTATTTTACACATTAGGCAATTTTAGTGCCTAGTTAGATTTAAGAACATAAGTTAGAATATACCTCTATATTTATTTAAAGAAAAATATGGTATAGTATTTAAATATCATAAGATTAATACACAGTAGATTAATGTAGTGTTGAAGTTCATGATATTGTCATGCAGTATTATGTTCAATTTTCCTTTAGTAGAAATTCAGCCAAGTCTTTTAAGGAACTTTGTCTACTGAAAGGAGTAAGAAAACATTAACCTAAATATTTTTTTAAAAACTGATTCTTGTTGGTATATATTTATTAGAAATGTGACTCATGGTGTGATATAAAGTGATCCCCTTTAAGGAATTAAAATCTAGGGGAACACCTCTCAGAGGGGAAATGAAAGTCACTTTGATTATCCCGATGACACTTTATTGATAAAATATCTGAGTATTGTCATTCCCATTCTAGAATTCTGGCTAGCTTTGGGGACAGGAAAATAAATAAAATTCAACACACTAAATTTCAAAACACCATTAACATTTTAGAACTCACTGGGCAGAAGGATCATTGTCACTTTAAGTGGGAAAATAATAATGATCAATTAAATATGTATCCTGACAGTAAGTCATAAGTCTAATTTCTAAAATAATGATGGAATGAAGCTGAACAATTCTAATGATAGCATTTAATTGATTTTTATGTAAACCTTTGCCAGAGTGGTACAATGAAGTACAAATGTAGAGTTAGCAAATGAGTATTTAACATAAAAACTCTTCTTCTGAATGACATGTTGCCCCACTGCTATCTGTCACCAGGAACAGGCTGGCACAGACTGGCTTTCTGCTGTGTGACTATAGAAAGACAACTTCTGGAAGCACAGAGGAAAAGAGTGGTGGCTCTCGGTCAGGGATTTCCAGTCATCAAAAACAGAAATGAATAAGTGAACAAAATGCAGAAATGTAAATTATTCCTGTCTATCCTTCAGTTTTGATATTTTTATCTTAGGATAAGCAAAATAAATACAACATAAGTGTGTGAGTAGCATATATGAATCCTCTTGCAGGGAAAAATAACCTAAATATTCTATCATACTGCCATGACAACAAAATTGTGCATAGCACCAAAGTAACTACAATCATGGGGGAGGATTTTAAAATTTAAGTTTTGGGTGTGATAATACATTTATCAAATGAAGGAAAAAGGACTTAATGTGTTTGGAGCTAAATGGCATTAAGTACTTTAGAAAACATTAAGTACAATGTAGACAGAAAAAATCATGTTGTGCTCTGATGTTTCATTAAATAACAATTTTGTCTCATTTAATATTAATTGCAAAATTAGAAAACTGACTTATGGGCATGGTGTTTATACACTGCCACACTTCCTAATGAGGATCTGCATGCAGCCTTCATTTTTCTGACTGATTTTTTTCGTCAAGTCTCCCTTCCAGATTTTCTTCATGTCTTTCCCAACTCCAGCATATGCTTATCCTAATTCACCAGGAGTCGTTCTCTTTTCAGTGAAGGGCAGGAAATGGCTGCAACTTGACACTTTTACTGTGAAGTCCTCTTACATTACTGAACAGTTTGCCAGATCTTCTTTGCATGATAAGTATAGAAGCAAGCAAGCTCTAACCCTACCATTCACAATAGGGGGAGTGAGACATGGTCCCCCAGTTTTCACGACTTACTAATATAGTCACAATGAAAACTTTATAAAATTCCCTTTGACACCAAGAACATTAGATAACCTTAAGCACGTGTGCCAGGCCTATGCAATGCACATGGGTTAGTTAGAAACTAAATGTATTACACCAAAGTTAGCATGTTTATTTGTATTTTAGGGAAAATAATGTGATGGATCAGAATCCACCTGCCTCCAACTTTATTGCCAAGGGAAATGCAGAAGTACACTGTGGCACATCAGATAAAAGAGTACTTTATTTAGGAGACTGTAATTTTAATACTGGCTCTGCTCCACACACTAATAACTTTTTACAGGCACTAGACTAATCAAGTTTTATTTATCTATAAAATCACAGGATAGGGCCTTTTACCTCTAAGTTCCTTCTAGCTATAATATTTTTTTGGGATTCTGTTATAGCTGACCTCCACAAGAACAAGACTTCATGGAGAAACTTGAAGCACTCCACCTTAAATGTTTGGACTCAGTATCTGTTGGATTCTCCTTTGAATATTTATAAAATATATTTCCTTTAACCCCTCCCCCCAGATTACTGTGGAATCAGAACAGCACATAATTTTTAAGGATTTTTTTTTCAGTATTTGTGCACGGCTTCTCTTTGCTGTTTTATTGAGCAATACAGAGTTTGATGATGGGAAATGAGTCCCTTTGCCTTTGTTTAAAAGCATAAGACCACATGAAAACCATAGTTCTGAAAGCTTGAGAACAGAAATGATGTACTGCCTTGCAGCAAAGCACTAAATATGCAAAAGGTAGATCAATGCGGTTTCACGTTTCATTTTACCTTACCTTTTTCCTTTAGGGAATCTGGGACCTTCACTTCTTTCACTTTAATAATCTCTGGAAAGAAACATTGAACATTTGTTTGAAGCCATAACAAAGAGATTTGAGAACGTGTACATGATGGAGTCAGCCAGCTACTAGTAAGCTGGATATAGGGAGGAAAGAGACTATGCTTTTTCCTCTTCAAAAATGACTTGCATCACCAGACACAAAGCAGCAATGGTATAAACTGCAGTAAGCTTTACTTTGTTCTTTTTCATTCTGAGTACAGATGAATTGTTGAACAAGTTATAATGTAGTTGTTCATTTAAGATGATGAGCATTCGAACAGATAGGAACTTTTTTCTTTGTAATTTTAGAAAATACAAGACATCAGCTTCTAGAAGTCTCATAGAATTATTTAATCAGCACTAACACAGCATATTTCTTTCAATTTTTGTTTTCTCTTCAAAAAACAAGCAACCAACCAGTGAAAAATACTGCACACATCATGTAAATTTGGAGTTTTCATCTTTAGATTCAAGTAAAAATCTAGGATTAAAACTAAAATAAAATTTGAGAATTGATTTCATTTAAAGCCCATTTCATCATGAACTTCCCAAAACTGGAATATGCATATATAGCCAAAGTAATTCCAATAAAGCTGCACTCTATCAGTTTCAGTGCAATGTGGTTTTAACCATTCTGTGACCCTGGACATGTGAGCAGCACCTCGAACACCAGTACTGTTCCCCAGCAGCCTACTATGAAGTAGAACATAAACTTATTTTTTGCTTCCTCCACAACATGAGAGTTCCATATGCACCTTGTAGACAACAATAACCTTTCATGCAGTGGGAAAAGAAGAAAAAGAAAGAGCTCCACCACTCCAGGGCTTTTCTCTTGGAGTAGCGACGAAAAGCTACCTCAGTGGCATTTGTAAATTGTCGCTCTATCAATGACCTAGAATGCATCTCACTCACAGAGTAAGCTAGAAGACTACAATTACACAGGAAAAAAAGGTAGTGCTCATCAAAGGGCCCAGAGTTTCAGTTAGACAACAGAACCCAGTGGTAGTGATCTACTTTACAGAACACTGACTAATAAATATCAATACATTGTATGCTGTGAAGTTGCAAAGCCAGTAGATTTTTAAATGTTTTCACCACAAAAAATTGTGGTATAGATTTTTAAACTTGCCTGATTTAACCACTTCACATTGTGAATACATATCAAGACATCTTATTATACCCCTAATATATTATTAGCTGGTAACCAAAATTCAAATTTAAAATGTCATGTCCTTCAAGGAAAGATTTGGACATAGCATGTCGAATTTTTGAAAATGGTGGCAATGTAACATCCATGTTGCTGTTGATTGGGTAGGACTAGAGATGACTTTTAGAAGCCATTCAAAGGTTGTAAATTCATCATTTCCTCTTTGGAGAAAGTCCCCAGAATGCAAAAGTAATCTGTGATTCTAAGTGTGCTAATGGCAAAAAAGCCTTCTGCTTACAGGCTTGTACTGACTGTCTTAGGAGCATTTCCACTCTATTTCTAGTTGTCATAGGAGTATTTTTAAGGTTACAGTAAGCAGGAGGAAAATATTTTGGGGAAAGATAAATAATTGTTTTTTGAAAATATGAGTGTAACCTATGCAGTTTTGGTTCACTTGCCTACAAAGGAGACACCAGCAATGTACTACATAGACATAGTAATAAGTTTTCAGTAGTATGTTATTGATTTTGTTACCTTTATCCTTCATAATGGAAGAAGTCTTCCCAGATTTTTCTTTTTTAATTTCTAGAAGAGAAGTCATGAGAAGGAAGGGTTAATAAAGAAAAAATTTCAAGTTCCTCCATGTGTTTATTCCTTCTGAGCCTCACAGAAGCAGAGAGCCCCTGATTTGGTATTCAGGATACAGTTTGTACAGTTCTCTCTGGGGATATTTTGCAGTTAAGGTATGGAACTAAAAATGCAGAAGATAAAAAAATAAGACCATGAATTATTATCACAAAGGAAGATTATGACAGTGACAAAATAGGTACAAATAAAATGCTTGGTCTATGTCAGACAATCAGTAACACTCTCTACTTGGTACTATTCAGCAGCATTCCCTACTGTCTTGTCATTCAGTTTTCATAACAACCCAGGAGATAACTGAGTTCTGCTATTAATTCTACTCTTCATCTGAAAAGATCAAGTAACTTTCCCGGGAATCTTAAATGGGAAACTTGGCTCTTGAACGGCTGCTCTTCAAGCTGAGCTACAAAGGCACCAGGAGCCTCAGTAGCTGAATGGAGACATCAGTGCAGGTTTGAAGCACATGATGCTAAAACAGACCTTGGAAGACAGAAAAGACTTTGACATAAAGAGATGAATGGAGAATTATCTCAGTGAGATGAAGCAGAAACACAGGCACACGGTAGAAAAGCAGAAAGAACATGCTGTGCTGGGAACGATAGCACCATTGGTGTGGCTTTGAACTGTGCAAGTCAACTGTGAACAATTCAGTGCCATGGGCGCCATGCCACTTCTGAGGCTTCTGAGGCCCCCTAAGAACAAACCACAGGGTTTCCACCTGCTCACTGGCTCCGGGGAATCTAGCTCTCATGTGAGAAACTCAGCTTACATCACCGTGCTGGAGGGTCACCACACACACAGTCTGGTTACCAGCTCCAGCTGCTCTCAGCCCAGCAGCCAGTGCCAGCTGTTGGAAGCCACCTTGGACCCTCAGCCATTGGTGATGTCACATTACCCCTGCCCCACCTGATGTCCCATTGCAGTCACCTGGGTACCGAATGAACACTGCCTGTTCATCCTTCCTGTTAGAATTCCCTCACCTTAAGATGGCTGCTACATAAAATAGCAGCCTTCTCCTTCCCATAATACCCTGCTTAATATCACTTAAAATATAGCTTCTCCCACCAAAAGACAACCTTCTTCTTCCCAACAGGCCCCTTTTCCTACCAAAGGAGTGACCTGATACTTGCTACCTCCCAGCAACTAGTAATGTCACAGGTTCTTCCAATCCCTAGACACCACATCCCTCAACCCCACCCCAGCCCCTATAAGTGCTCTCCCTGTCCAGGCCATGCAGCTCTCTCTCTCTCGCCTTTGCTCAGAGACAGCCTGGCAGACTGTCCCTAAAATAAAGTCTTGTTGTGGTTCCAGTCTGGTCTTGGTTTTTGGCTCTTTTAGCTACACTTCCTAAATTCCTGACCCGCTAAATCATGAGCAAGTGAAAGCAGCTGTTTTACACCATGCAGCCTTTAAGTAGCTTGAATATGTAAATACTACATCAAGAAGCAGTTACCTAACAGCAAATGTTGGATCATGAGATTAGTTCTCTATTAGGGACACGTAGGTAAGAGAGAAAGGATTATTAATTCTAATTTTAAAATTGTGGAAGGTTTTCATCCAGATGTCATTTGGCTTGTGTGTATGAATTGTGTAGAATTCTACTGGTCAGGAAATGTCATTTAACTGTGTAACTGGTTGTAAAATATGAAATATGGGTTTCTTTTAAAGAAAAACTAGAGCTCTTCCTTGGTTTATAGTGGAATAATGTGCCATTGACTGAGGTATGAGCAGCAAAGTAGGAACATAATATCTGGTTGGAATGTATTTTGTGTCATGTGTCAACAGTAGACCCAAAAGGAACTGTCCAAGAAGCAGTGAAAAAAACAATTGAACTCATCTATTTTTTTGTCAGTTTCTGCTCTAGAGTCTCGAATCGTGACTTCCATTTTGCTCACTATCTCTATGTTTATCTGGGAAATTATTTCTGTTTTGAATTTTTCTAGAGCCTGATTGATCTGTTTTGTTACTTCCTGTGCTTTGAGTTCAGGGTGTCCTGGTGGTTCACTATCAGCCTTTTCATCCTCATTTGCCCTACTGTTTGCCATTGGTGAACTGAAAGTCGGTCCTTGTGTCTTGCTTAAGTGTTTTCTCATTTTTATTTTTGTTGTTGGACTGTCCTTGGTTTAATCTCTGGGTTATCACCCAAATCTTCCTGATAAGGTTGCGCCTTAGCTTCTGTGTCTCTAATGACCCACAGACATTCTCATCTTCATAACATCAGAGAAACAGCTCATCAAATCAACCGCAATGCTTTATCCCAACTGATACAATCAGCAACACATTAAGATCAAGCACAACTTGGACACTGACCAGCTGAGGTAGTCACTAGTCTATCACCCTTAAATCATTTGAATTAAATTGAAATCAAGAAGCCATCCAGAACATGTCTGCAGTGAACAAAATTTCAATATAGTGTATTTGCCATTTAATGGCTCAGACCAAGAGAGGATGCAAGTTTCCTGGTCTCAGTTAGCTGATGGCTGAACCCCATGATGCTGACTGACCTCGGGCTGCAAGGCCCAGATTGAGTTCCCCAACCTTCTGAATGGTTGAACTCCATGTTTTATTACAGGTTTCCCAAGCCCTTTCTTTAAAGATGTTCAAAGTTGGGAACTCAGAAAAATACCCTTGATGACCACCTCTGCCTTTGCAGAGTGGGTCCAAAGACTGGCACAATCAGGAGGTCTGAGAGTGTGTGTGGGGGGACTTACGATAGAAGCCATGAAGGCCCAGCTTAAGAAAGAAATGGAAAAAATAAACTCCCAACATAGGAAAGAAATGGAATCCATAAAACAGATTCAAACAGATATCCAGGAGATTAAAAACTCCATTGAAAGTATTTGCAACAGAATAAAAGAATGCGAAGATAGACTCTCAGATATGGAAGGTAAGAGTGCAGTCCAGAGGTCTCTTAAAAACAGTAAGGGATCATGAGAAATTGATCCAACAACTCCTAGATGATGCAAAGAAGAATAACATAAGACTGATAGGAATCCATGAAGTAGCAGGAGAAAATACAAATGCCTTAAAAAAGCTGTTCACAGAATTAACAGAAAATTTCCCAAACAAAGGGGAAGAATTTGACATTCAGATAAATGAGGCATATAGGACCCCAACTAGCTACAATCAAAAAAATATACACCAAGACATATAATAATCAAGATCCCAGAAACCCAACAGAAGAACAAAATACTACAAGCAGTAAGAGAAAAGAAACAAATCACATATAAAGGAAAGACCATCAGAATCAAAGCAGACTTTTCAACACAAACCCTTGGGGAAAGGAGAGCCTGGAATGAGATATTTCAAGTACTAAAAGAGAATAACCTCCAACTTAGACTGATGTATCCTGCAAAACTCTCTGTCAAAATGGATGGGGAAATAAGACACTTCCACAACAAAGAACACCTGAGAAACTACATGAATACCAAACCAGCACTACAAGTAATTCTAAACAAGATCCTAGAAAAAGACAATGAAGGCAACAACACCATGAGGCCCAACAGAGCAAATCAAATAGGCAAGGCAAGAAATTAAAAGGAGAAGGTGAAAAAGTAAAAAGAGTCAACAAAAGGCCAATAACATGTCAATAATAAGTTAGTACATATCAGTTATATCCAGCAATGTCAACAGCCTCAACTCACCAATCAAGAGAAATAGAGTGGCAAAATGGAATAAGAAGCAAAATCTAACAATATGTTGTATACAAGAAACACACCTAGTGCAAAAAGAA